GGTGAGTTTCCAAGTGTGCACAAAAAGTTCCGTTGGAATCCAGTTCAACGTGATTTTGGGTATTGAAAAAAATAATAATAGTAATAGTATTTTGTGTCTGATGGTCATATTTTTTCTTTTTCATTTATTTCCTTGCTTAAATTTATTTTTGCCAAAATTTTGTACCTCTGGCCATTATTACATCAGTACATGTTTTTGGTATGTCAGATGTTGTATTAAATTGCAGTGTCTGTGTTTAAGCAAAGTGAATTCCATTTTTCCAAGATATACGTCAAAATGACGCTGAAGACCGTTATCTTTCAAAAATTTTCGAGTCTAGAATGCTCTCCCCACCCGCGGAGTTACTTGTCCCGGGGCATTGAGAGTCCTATCGCAGGCCCTGCCTAAGAGTGATGTTAGTCGTAGTTGTGCTTTATATAACTGTCGTAAATGAATATGGATTTTGAAAAAAAAAGAATTCTGTCATAAAATTTTTATTAGTAATTTTATATCTCTGATCAGAGCTGGCTTGTATATATCACAAACATACAGAATGTTATCTCTATTGTTTACATTTGTGTTAGCCATATTGTTTAAATAATCATATCAGACTATCAGACATAACAATAAAATATTCAAGCTGTTGAAAACTTTTGATGGGGAGTGGCACCGGCCGGTTTTATTTAACATAATAACATAGTGTGAAATATTTCACTGTCATGAAATCGCATCAGCTGATACAAACAAATCCGTCAGCCATATGTCATAGTGTACACTTAACAATATATTACGTGTGTCGGGTATGAAATTGTTGTCGGTTGGGTAATAGCAATTACTTCAACTGATCTTAGAATGGTTCCTCTATTTATAGCATCCCCTCTCCCCCGTTTGCATTACCAATTTGGTGGCTTTGTGGTCTAGGATCGAAGCCGAGTATTTGAATATTCATGATTTTGAGGTTGAAGAATTAAGAAGTGAACAGACATGAATTAGTGAAACCGCCCATTCTAAAATAGATCAATTTCACCAGGACTAAAGAAACATTGAAATGACCAACCCCATTTCAATATTTTTATCAGATGATTGCGGCATGTCAATTTGGGCTCTTTGTGGTTTAAAAAATGTTATTGGCCAAGAAATGTCATGGATTTATCATTGTGTGTGGGGACGGGGGGGGGGGGGGGTATACGTTTTTCATGAAGTTCAAACTGTTGATAATAAAAAATCGTATCTTAAGCCTGGATTATAGGATTCACTAGCAAAATACAATATTGTAAAAGATGAATAACAATAGGATTATTAGTCTAACGATTCTCATTCAGGTGTTGAATTTTGCACATTTCGTAATCCATTTTTTTAAAATTTATTGTTAACTTTTGCAACATTGCACTTCAATAGTTATTCTTTCTTGAACGAGAATGCCAGCAGTTCCTGAATTTCGCGTGTTAACTTGCTGTGGTTCGAGGCCTTTATGCTGTAATCCTATTCTCGAGAGGGAAACGTGTTCGTAGATATTGTAAAAATAAAGTTTGTTCTTGTTCGTGTTTGTAGATAAATGTCAGTATGGGGTAGGCCTATGTATAGATAATGATGTCAATGATGTGGATTATTCGACAAGAGTACGTTCCTCGTTCATGTACACCCATTCATTGAATGGGCATTCACTTATCAAAACGTTTTAATGACTTGAATAATAATACAAATCGGTATATCGCAAGGTTGGAATTTAGAACATGTTTTTTTTCTGATCGGGGCTATAGAGTTATAGAGTGTCATACTCCAACCCACGCTATACTCCACTAATAATTGAAATCTAAGCAAAGATCTACCAAGAGTAAAGCCAGGCTGACACTTGCACGACTTTTGGCCACGATTTTGTCGTGGCAAGTCGTGCCATTTTGGGACACGAACTGGGAGGCTCCCGCACTGTTCGCGTCTAGTTTACGCATGGTTCACTACGAATTCACGATTGGGTGCCCATCAGTGTCCACGTTGACACGACGAGTTCACGCATAGTTTGCGCATTGTTTACGCACTTCCCGCATTGGCACGGCGAGATCGCGCAATTCGGACGGTGTCGTGCCGCAGTAGTCGTGAACTGTTCGTGAACTAGTCGTGAACTGTTCGTGAACTAGTCGTGGCAGTTCGTGACAGTCGTGGCATGGCGCGCACTGTCACGCATCCTCCCACGCATCCTCCCGCGCATCGTCCCGACGAGTTCACGAACAGTTTGCGCATAGTTCACGACCCGGTCGCTAAATTTTGTCGTCCCGACATGGCACGCAGTTACGACGGGTTTACGCACACTTCACGCCAGTTTACGACTAGTTTGCGCACTCGGGTCGTGCCAATGCGTGCCACGGAATCGTGCAAGTGTCAGCCTTGCTTCAGATATTTTGCAGGAAGGGCAACTGAACTACTTGAAAACCACAATAGTATCCAATGCGTGCGACCATTTGTTCTATATGCTGCACTGTTTATTAAGGGGCATGACTGCCACCACATGGTGTACAATTTAATACGGTAATAATAAAATGGCAGCAAACATTGTGAGGTCTTAAATTATATTAAGATAGATTACACTCCGCTGTCCGGTCACAAGCTAGGTATTTGCTCTTAATGAACGTCTTTAATGTAAAAATTATATATAAAGCGTTTATTTATAAATATAAATAAGGTTATCCACTTTAACGCGTTTTTTTTTCAAGCATTATTATATGTCACACAACTCCCCGGAGATGGAATGGAGGATCGTTTGCACCATATCATTTTCGGCTATCGGTAGTGTTATGTAGGCCCACCAGTCGTGAGAAAAAAATCAAAATCACCAGTCTTCAAATCCACAGGACGCAAGTCTTATCATAGAACGCAAGCCTTATCATTCAGCGCATTTCATATACGTCAAAAACCTGTATGGGGAAGTTTACTTATCTATTTATCAGCGCTGACAGTTTATGATGTTAGCGCATAGATTACATAGTCTACACTTTTTGACTTCTCTACTCACCAATATTATCAACAAATATGTTAATATATTTTTAAGTACAGCGGTCGTCTGTTGAGAAAGATAAACAAAGTAATGCTAGGACATTCACATTCGTACACATTTACACCACATGATTTCTTCAATCATACCAAATATCAAAACCTGTTAGCTTGGATTTTATTTTTAAACATACAGAATATACAAAAAAATATTCGGTTAAGATTCGATAATTGGTTGTTATGAGAAACACTTAATGTTCCTGCATTTCAAGTCTCTATTGCGTGTCTGCAGTATTTTTCATGGTATGTCATTTGGATTGCTTTAAAATTCGGTAGACACTGTATTTCCAAAGAAGCTGTACTCGATTCATTATGTGTTTCACCAGTATAGCTCCCTGAAATTTCTCAGTGTGGTTTTCACTCGTCAATAGTGCAGGGCGGAGGGCCTGCCAAAGAACGGCGTCGGGCGTCTAGTCGTTCGGGTTGGACAAAAAACAACAAGTTCCCGTGTACACGTTGGCCCGTACGTAAAAGAAACCTTGACAGTTGGAAAATGTACAGCGTACGCCCGTTTTCATTGACCCTACTGGCGCAGAGAACTAGGACGTTAAACCCTGTTTCATTTATTCATTCACCAGTATATCTGCTGGAATAAACCGGGATAGTGCAAATTATACGTATTAGTTTAGTACGTAGTATTCGGTTAATTAACTAACTAATCTAAATGATTTACTTGCTCTCTGATCGGACATGTTGCATCCGTCATGTAATACCGAAACATGAGCACTTCTATTTACTTAAATAGCCGATAACGTCATTAAAATCTGGGCCTATCAGTACACTGAGTGTGTTTCTGGCTGATAATGACTGATAATGCGATAACTATTGACAAGTCTGTGGATCCGATTTTGTCAAAATTGTAACCCTGACTTGATAGAGATAAAACAAAATTCGGGTCTGGAATTTTGTCAGTGTGAAAAATATCAATGTTTGTAAAATCACGCATAATTTTAAAAGAATTATATCATTCATGTAAGAACTCTATGACTTTTGTGACGTCATGAAATTTTGTATAAATAAAATAACCATTTGTTTAAAGATGGTGTAAGATTAATGAATGGAACTTTGATTTCTTAGACAAATACGGGTCTATTTTTTTTTTAACCCCATTTGAGATGACCTGGATCTTGGGCAGATAAATGAGTATCTTGGCGAGATCTGGTCTGCATTTTACTAGATAAATCAAGAACGTGTGTCAAGACATTTGGTCTATTTGTACACATGCACGTGCGTGAATGTTGAAGAAAAAATAAATAGAATTTAACAAAAAACATTCTACAATGTTTAATGATAGAATAATGTGTTTTTAATCTGGCTATTGTGATTTTTGTATATACGAGTTTTGATGTTAGTTTATTGTGCAGTTATCCTACAGTTGTATTTATCATTCTCTGTTTGTTTTCTGTATATCATCGTTATAAATGTTCTTTACTAGTTACAGCGACTCGTCCAGAGGTGGAAGCAAAAAACTCAAAAGTGACCCGTTTCATAGAAATCTAATAATAAATGAATTTGTATACTGTTATTTATAAGTTGGTGAGGGGCTAGGGCCACCGCAAAGTTATTGCATTACATTATATAAATCATAACCATACATTTCTGGGGCATATTCCTCAATCCCATGCAAATTCATTGAGCTTATTACATGTACAGTCTATATACCATTATAAAACCTGTATAAATGATTATAAGGCCATGCTATATCAAAATATGAACAGCTGATATCATTATAAAACCTAGTTAATAAAATATAGAGCATTATTAAGTTCATGTGAACGTTCCCGAGCAGTAGAATTGACCATAATATACCTGATATGGATACCAGAGCTCAACCGAATTATTAAAAAAAAAAACCAACAAAACATGTTAGTCCCGCAACGATTCGGTTTGTGTCGTGTGGACGTTAACGTTGTAATTGTGTATGCCTACTTATACAACTCATACTTATTTAATCAGGTTTTATTTTTATCTTTTAGCACACAAAACCCCCACTGACAGCTGATGGTAAAACCCCACTGACAACTGATGGTAAAACCTGTACATATACACCAGATTGTCATTATGTAAGTATATTATAGGTCGATTAATATTGTATAATGACACTATTAATGTGATATTTCAAGTGTTTATTGTGTAACACGGTGATATGCCAGTGAATGTTGTATAAGACGGGGATATACCAGTGTATAGTGTGTAATCCGAGGAAATGCCTGTGAGTATTGTATAACACGGGGGTATACCTGTGAGTATTGTATAACACGGGGGTATACCTGTGAGTATTGTATAACACGGGGGTATACCTGTGAGTATTGTATAACACGGGGGTATACCTGTGAGTATTGTATAACACGGGGGTATACCTGTGAGTAGTGTATAACACGGGGGTATACCTGTGAGTAGTGTATAACACGGGGATATATCTGTGTATATTTATAACATAGGGATATACCAGTGTCCAATAAATTATGTATAGTATAAATATGTTTTCATTATTGTTAGATCAAGAAAGTTTTCCTTTCAGTCATGATCACAACAGAAATAGTTCGACATATTCTAATTAAAATATTCTCGACCCAAATATAAGAATTAGGAGAATAGTAAAAAAAGTATAAATTATTAGTAATACGAGACCATTTGGTAATGCAATGTAGTGCGAGTTATAAATAGACAATTTTTTCCTTTATCTTTTTCTCCCCCTTCCTGCATTTTTGGGTTGACTTTTTGGTCTAGAATTGGAGAAAAGGGATCATATTTGCAATTTCATAGCAGTTTTGGGTAATACTGATGATATTACTGCGGAGGGATAGGGGGTGTAAAGTGTCTTTCTGCAGAACAATCATTGTGTCGGAAGTGAGATTTTCACCCCAGTCAACATCAAATCCCTGTAGCAAAAAATCTAAATGGTCAACCCTCTACAAAATTATGATGAGGATATTGCCAAATGTGGTCCCCATTGTGCCTATAAAGATTGGAACCAACGGAATGTTAAGCAAAAAGCTACAGCCTGTGATGTTACAGCCATTTAACATTGAAGTCAATGGGCAAAAAATTACTAGTCTGAGACCATTTATGTAATAAACCTTCAAATTATCTCCCTTGTACATTTCCATTTTAAAAACACCCCAGTCATCCAGTATATTATTTGCTGTCCGCATGATTGTTTACAAAGAGGGTTTGTTTATAATAAATTTCAGTGCTGGATATTATGTATGAGATTATTTGAAAGTTATATTGTTTGGGGACCAACATGCACGGATGATCGAGTTTGTGTAAGTGCTTGTGTATTTATTTAATTTTTAATGTAATAATTTATTAAGAATATACTATATGAAACATACTATATAAAACATAAAATGATATAAATACATAAATAAACTGCATGATAAAAGAATATCTATAGGTCTTGTGCAATTTTCTCTAAATGCTGTATTTAAAAGAAAAATCTATCGTCTTCATTAGGAAGGTGTCTGTTTCATCTGTCATTGCAGATTCTTCATAATCTTCATCGTAATACCTGATACTTTAACATGTTAACGCATTGTACCCCAGTAAGGTCCTGGTATCTGTCACGCCAATTTGCATTACTATGTTTATGGACTTTGAATGTCATTACTCTTGATGATCGACGGTAATTATTTCATTAAAAATTAGCCCTTTGTTGTTTTTTCTTGTTTTTAGACACCTGGGTGTAAAACTGCGTGTAAATTTAGACAAGCTAGACCCAAGGGTAAGTAGTCATTTTTTTTCATTTCTAATATAAGGGCACAATTTATAACAATCCATGAAATTAGTACTTATTAGTAGGGGCGAAGGGTGGGAGGACGCCAACTTCCACCAAGAATCTGGCCAAAATGAGCGAAATTAAGAGAGGGATATTTCCTGTCAAAACATTTGTTTTATTTGCGCTTTGTTTATGAAAGATAATGCTATGTCCTTGGGGGAACTATATCTTTTAAACACCTTACCGTTTTTATGTGAAAATCTAACTGTGGATTATTAGATACTTTAAAGTCACTATTTAAGAAAAAACAATCATTTTCTTTCAGTCACGCCCAGTCATTTACATTGGCAGTTTCCTGAAGATGTCATAGTTAAAGCCGATTCTTTAAACACCTTGATCACATGGCCTCGCCCGACACCCGATGGTCCGGAAACGTCACCATCACCCTTTGTGTATACATTACTAGCTAGAAACACATCATGGATAGATAAATCATGGCATCAGTATGCACAGGTCAGTTATATTGTAATCTTTTTTTAAATAAAATGAAATCGTTTTAATATAATCTTGGCTGAGACAATCCAATATCTTGACATGTGAGGAATACCTGATTTTAAACCGACTGTCCGACAATCACTGATTAAGACTATTTGAAATTACACTATTCAGGGGACCAAGAGAAAATATAAGCAGAGGTTTTATTATAACGATTTTTGGACTGTTTCGTCATTGAACTGGGAACACGGTCCAGGTGAACCGATCAATTGAGAGATCTTTCATAATGCTTCACTACCTGAAAGTTACACTCAAAAGCTGTTACTTTCTTAAATCTTAGCTACATTAATGGCTGAAAGTTTTTGAATTTTATAGAACCGCAATATTCGAAGGTCAGTATCGGGTATTTATATTATAATTTACAAAACTTGATATTGATTTTTAGTTGCTATATGTGATAAAATACTCCCTTTAGGTAAACGCCGAGTTAAGCACCCTATTCTGTCTTTTCTGTAAGGTTAGAATTGTTTCTGACCGTTAGTGCCGTCTGTATTTTGTTTTTAGTTGCTACATTGTAGGCCTACGACGTATTTACGTGATAATATTCTACCGTTGGCTATAGTAGTATCTTAAGTTATCTAGTATCATCATGGTTACTGTGATGTCCGCTGTTTCACACCTTATACATCAATAACATCTGTTTAAACACAACCCATCCCCGAATTCCCTCAACTCGGTCGTCACTGACAAATATGTGGCAACATCTCTTATTCTAACTTCAAAAAAATGTAGCACAAAAACTTAGCCCAACATTTAAGAATCCCCACTGCCCATTCTGAATAAATACTGTATTAAAATCACATTGTTCTTTATGTTCGCCCTTTACTGTATTGGTTTTCTTGATTTGGTTTAAAAAGTTCGACATGGTAATAGTTTTGTTGTTGATGCTTATTAAAGGGATAATAACACTCTTGCTGGCTTGACAGCTCCAGAAAATAAAAAATAGCCTTATTCTAAGTACTAGATGTGTTAGTGTCTTACCTGTTGTGTAAATTATCCATTAAATCATATTTTACTTGTCCAGAGGGTTCAAAAATATTTTTAAATCCAAGTCACATTTGAAAAGCTTTACGTCAGGCTTTTCAAATCATTTAGTTGAATTTTTCCAATTTTTTAAATAAGGTGTGTTAAGATGAAATTTGTATCATCAATTAATTGGAATATTGTAAAATAGTACAATTTGTTGACCTGAATAAAGATTGGGACATATTATTCAGTTACAACAAGAGTGGTATTGAGCCTTTAATGATAACTATTTCAACAAAATAATAGTACACAAAACAATAAAAACCTTATGTGACAATGCGTAATACTTAAATAATCGCAGATCGACATTACATCATTGATAAAATATTTGTTCCTATTGTAAGTCTTCAAAGGATCCCATACTTCATTTTTGTTCCCACTAAATGCCGTTTTTGTGTGAAATATTTGAATGACATTTTATTGAAATAATTTATGATGTCATAATACAATGACTTTTACTAAGCTTAGCCTATATATTTGAATTTAGGGGATACAAAGAGCGTCACTCACTTACTTACATGTAAAGCAATCTTTTAATACATTTGGAAAAATATAGTTGTTCGTATATTTAAACATCCTGGAATCAGAACTACTTGAAAATTGGATTTCAACACAAATTAGTGGAGGGTCTTCGAATTGTATGCATTTCTGTGCTCACGAAGAACTGTGTCAAGAAAACAAAAGACCGTATAATTACTTTTATATCATGAATACATTCCTTAGCGTTTGTTGGCCAAGGAATAAAAATACAAATTGAAATATATACTTTTTAAAAAGGTCTTCTTAATTATGTTATTATTGAGCCTTCACTTTCTGTATATTCAAAGTAAATGCACATATACATTGCTAATGTTAATAATTCTTAAAATAATTTCGGGGACGAACATCAAGCAATGAAAATGAGTATCTTGGATTATAGATCTCTACCATCGTCAGTACTTATGGCCGGTATTGTGATCTTTAGACTTAGCCCCCCAGAAGTCCTAATTTATTAATATTCTAATTCTGGAATCGTGGTCATCTGATTGTACTTCTCTAAAGTTTTATATATTCCACCGGATTTAGCAATTATATCTATGTTCCAATTTCAAAAGAGTATTTCTTTGTCTTTTTTAAGGAGAATACTTGAATTGTACATTTCTTCCAACGACACAACCCCCATTTTATATCCGGTGGTCTTGATATCCACAACACTTAATGCATAATGATTGTTACTTGAGTGGTTATTTGTAAACATTACTGTAGGCAGAAGATATTCTCTCAATGCATTAAAAACTAGAAACTACGAAACTCCGGCTGAGTTTGCTAGCTTTTTGTGCATTAAGCAAGTCACACCTGTTGGCGTGTTGGTAGAGTGCCAATATGTCTGGCACGGTCTTCTAGAAGAAATTTTTTTAAAAAAAAAACTTGATAGTGTTTTTTAATCAATGATCGTATTGCCATTAAAATCAACAAAAATTACAAATAAAATATTAACCAACTGTGAATTTCGTTGCATGATAATTAATTCATAACGTTTCTTTTTTTGTTATTCCTTAGTTTACCCCATAATTTCGTAATCTGAAATTGTGCTTTTCTTTAATTATACGACATAACATGTGTACAAAGTCTGCACTTTGCTTAATTTTTAAAACGACCTTGATTCTAAAACACGTGGTTTATTCTAAGACACGTGTTTTTTTTCGATGAAATCCTAAGGTAACTTACCGGTTCTGGAAACAACAAAGATGAATTTGGATACTTGAATTTAAAATAAACAGGATTTGTCGCTTAAGCACAAGCAGGTATTTTTTGATATGGGATTAAGGAAACTTAAATCTTAATCTGCTATATCCATCTTTTATTTCGCGAGACATATAATCGGTGACGTCTACATTTTTTTTTGGTTCAAATTTTATATTTGCATTTTGAAAACCGTCAAATTCTTTGCTATATAATTAAAAACTTTTGCGATAACAAACTTGAAAACAGATGGTAAAAGTTTGAGTATTAGATTTCAATACATTAAATAAAGTCAGTCCTCTTCACTTCCTTATTATCATTGACTGGAATAAATTATCAACATAAGGCTAACTAAATACTCAGTTATTTGACAGCATATTTGCCACGACTGACCATTCTATACCAATTCCAGTTGTAATCACATTTCACAAGCTGTCATTAATCCAAGTGACAATATGTCTCTACTTCCGGCACTCAACATACACTTTGGTGAAGAATTCTTAAAAGGATATCCCGCTTCGTAAAATAATATAGTTCAGAAATTCAGCATACCTCATTACAAATATGTTCCAAACTGTTGTTCCTATTAACGTCAAGGCACCTTTTAATTCTTTGATAGTAATCCGACAAAAACTGCCCTATAGTTTATGTATATAATCAAACTTGCAAACCCAAATTCCCTCGTTTAAAAAAGGGCCCTCATAAAACAGGTTTTCGTCAAGCTTTTAAAATTGAAGTCTAACATACACAGAATTCAAAACAAAATCTATGTTAATGTCGAGAGGGGTCACGGTGGCTATGTGGGTAAGACGCTGGCTCGCTAGCCAGGAGGTCGGGTGTTCGATCCGAGAATTGACCGAGAAAGTTCAATCAGATTTTCCGGCGTGGTTCCCACTTGTCAGTGATGCAGGACGGAGGGCCTGACAAGGACAGCTGTCTAGTCGTTCGGATATGCAAATACATATTCCCTCGCGCAACCTCCGGTCAAACAGACTTCATCAGTTGTGTTGCCCAAAGTGGAAGCTAAAATCATACGGATACAGATAGTTCTCAGTGAATGTGCCTAAACAGTGGAACAATCTACCATAAATTATCTCAAACTCTTTCTTGTTTTAAATCAAGACTTAAAACCCATCTTTTTATCAGGATTAATTAAATTAATTTAATTGTATGCGCAGCGAACATGCCTCTGTGTATGGAGTACTAGCGCTATATAAATGTACATATTATTATTATTATTACTTACAGTAAGCTAATAAATCTTTTTTTTTCTTTTTTTTTTAAAAAAATAACTTTTAATTGTTTTTTATTATAGCAAATATCCGAAGAAGTGTCCATAAAAACTGACCAGCTTCCATATGCTCCGGAGTTCAAGCTAATGGCGGTAAATGACCAAGGCCTCGCAACGGAAATGAAATTCAAAGGCGATAGCTACGTTTTTGGAAGTAAGTTGATTACCTCTTTACGAATTTATCAATTTATATTTTGATCACATCAAATCGAAATACGGAGATATTTTGTATCACTGTATATAAAACGGGGTCCATAAAATATTTATATTTTCCTCATTTCAGAGGTTTTCCCGCCATTCGGAGGGTTACGAGAAGCTACGCCTGGCTCTATGACAGTGGACACCCATTACAACATTACCTACAATATTACTGAACTGAAAAATGGCAGATTACAGCTCAATGTGTCGTGGCTACATCCACCAGAAGTAGCTGACAAGGTTAAACCTGTCCTGTACAACGTCAACTGGTTTTTAGACGATTGTAATGTATTTGATGGACCACCGCGGTGCGATCATCCTGTGGAACATTACGAAAGAACAGTTGAATTTGTTACAGATCAGCAGGTAACTTGGATTAATGCCTCTGGATTATTGAGATTTAGAAGCCATAACATTAAATTAATATTTTATGGGTATTTCCTCTCGCGTGAATTTACATAATGATATCATTAAAAAGAAATAAGCTCCTAGTTAAAGGGCAAAACTATTAGTACGTATTGGGTCCTACTAACCAACGGCATAGGCCAAAATGGGTGGGTTTTTTTGTCAATATCGCCCAAATTATTGCCAAAAGTGACTGATAAGAAAAGATATGTAATAGATTATCCATATACTCCACATCATATACAAACTATAAATGATTTCAAAATTGATAAAAATTATGGATAAGTGAAATTGTCGGGTAAAATTGTGATTATACAGTTAGTATTTGTTATTCTACCCCCCACCCCCGCCGGACGTTACCATTTATAGCCGGTATATTATGCAGAATATTGGCATGTTAAGACTGGGTATAGTTTGGTTTTGTGAACTATAAAAGTGAGACTATAAAGAAGTAAAAATACAAGTAATTAAAATATATTTCTTTAATTTTAGTCTCAATTGACAATAACAGAACTGCTGTATAATACTCAATATACGATACGAATGGAGCTATCAGACGACCCCGAAGTAAATTCCTATATTGTTTTTACTACACCACAATGTATGACCCCGGATGTGACGTTCAAGAAATGTATCAGATTAACTCCAGAGGAGGAAGAGAAAGAGGAGAAATTACTAGGAGGTAGGACGACTTTTTTGACCTGTATTTATTATTAGCGAACATGACTTGTTGAAATTTGAATTTGCTCAGCCTATCAGATGCCTACTTCCTTGGTTAAATCGATGCGCATTGGGATAAAGTCGTTATTCCGAACTCGACAGGAATAACCAGAAAAAGATGTGAATTGCATCAAACGATAATAAATATAATGAATTTTTTCGTCATAATTATTCTATTAGATTTTCTTCATTTCACTTTCAGAAATGGATATGCTACTCTGGCATTTAAATGTGTCTTCCATGACTTTGAATTCGGAAACAGACACTGTGAAAATAAATGTCACGTGGATGACGCCATTTAACAATTCAGCAGTGAATTATAGTTTAATATGGGAGATGGAAGATAATCGAAATTATTTTCAGATGGGCAGAGAAAAAACATATAATGATTTTTTCGTTCTAATAGTTGATCCCGAAAACATTTACAGAGTTAGGGTAAGTGCCGAATAGAAATGAAATTAAATAAGGTTTATGGTCCTAGTGTTCTGGGTGATCAGGTGGCTAAGACGCTGGCTCGCTAGCCTGGAGGTCGGGTGTTCGACCCCTGCATTGGCCGAGAAAGTTCATCCAGATTTTCCGGCGTAGTTTCCCCTTGTCAGTGATGCAAGACGGAGGGCCTGACAAGGACAGCTGTCTAGTCGTTCGGATGGGACGAAAAACCGAGGTCCCGTGTATATATTGGCGTGCACGTAAAAGATCCCTTGACAGTTGGAATTCGATATAAGAGTAGGTCGTAGCGTCGCTGCCCGGGCAAAATTTCCCTCATAGCACACTGTATGGCGTATGCCTGTCTTCATTAGCCCAGTTTAGGAGCAGAACAGTAGGACGTTAAACCCCATTTCATTTCATTCCCTAGTGTTCTGGGGGGGGGGGGGGGCGAATGGTTAGCGCGTGGTTTCGATTACCTGGTTGTACGTGACAAGGAATAGGGTCGCCTGTCCAACCATGTGGGTTTTCTCCGGGTCCTCCAGTCCCCGCCCCCCCCCCCCCCTCACTGCTAAAGACCCTACGCGCTAAAGAATTATTGAAATAAAATTGAAGCGCGTGTTAGTACCGAAATGACCTAGTTTGTGTCATGAACCGTGAGGTGTGCTCTGACATGAACGTTTCCGCGTCTTTTCGAAAATATAATTTTTTTTTTTATATCCATTTAATTTGCTAAATTCGACGCTTGGCCATATGCATATTATTACAAATGTAAAACTTCCTGTTAAATTGATTTAGTTAATTGGTTTGTCTTGCAGGCGTCGCTTTATTGCTAGATTAATCGGAAGTGAAGTATTAAATATGTTATTATACATAGACAATTAATGTGCGCTAAATGTCATGATCAAGAAAATGGAAAATTCCTACCTCCTTTTTAAACGTGTTTTATTAGCATAATTTTTGCAATCAGACGACAGGGAGAATTGGTTTAACGGCCACTGGCGTTTTTAAACTAGTTTAACTTAAGCGTCTGAGCAGAATATAAGCAAGCGTTGTGTTGTCAAGCCTGAATGTAAAATTCGGAAGAATTGCCTTTTTTATATACTAATAAAATGAATAAATTATGACAGGCTGTCTATATTCATTACAGGCTGAAGCTGGATATTTATCTGAAGCAGGAGAACCAAGAATATTTGACAGTGAATGGCTATTCATTAATACTTCACGGATTCTGTTGGATAATGATGATCAGGCTATGTACAAATCTATGCAAGAAAGTAATATGCGTGAAAGTAAGTTACTGTGTTTCAGACAATTCGAATGTTGCAAGCACTAGACAGAAAAACATAGGGGAAGAATGCCGCAAAGGTCCAACCTTCGGAAAAAAATGCATTTTCGGAAGTAGGGCACTGTCTTTGTGAACCGCAAGACGTTAAACCCCATTTCATTTCTTTTCTTGTTAACCCAGTCACTACAATAGTTACGCGCCCATAGTTGCGAGTGGTGCCGATGTCAACTTTTCACGTCTTTCTTAGTACTTTCCACACGAGACAAAGTTGATATAGCCTACCCCCTTTATATTATTGATTAAATATATATATTTTTTTCTTGTAACTTGGGCAAGTTGAGCACAACCCACAGTCTAATTCCACTAACAATGCACTTAAAGAAATAGAAAATCGGAAAGCTTATCTCTAGCAGTCTATTATATGAGATAGTGAATTTAGCCCTGTAGCTACACCACACATTATACAGGGCAAGGCATGAGATCTAGCATTTTATAATCCTCGATGTTGGCAAGCTTCAAAACAGATGCTTCTTTTCATCCCGACTGTTAGCTTACTAAATACACAAGAGTTCAATTAAAGCCTAAAGGTTTCCGATTTCCTTTCAAATTACATGTGTTGCGAACAAAAATCTTTTAATTCCTTTGCTTATTTTCGTATAATGAAGTTACTTAACAAGTCTAAACAACCTTTTCCTCCGTGAAATGAAGTCAAGAAAAGGCTTCCACTAATAATAGACTAATAAATACATAGGTATGCCGAGTTATGAAAGAAATGAATTGCTTTGTAATAGTTATATTAGCTTCGGGAGTTTTGTAGAGTGTGGGGGTGGGGAGGGGGGAGGGGGTGCTGAAGTGTTTACCCCATTTAATAGATTCATCGCAAATATTTAGATTATTAGTACACAAAAAAAAATTATTGCGAACGTCCCTGGTATGTTGGTGTTTGAAACCTAAGTTGATAAGGCTAGTTGGGATCTTACGCATTTAAAACATTAAAAAATATATATAGCTGTTTTGAAATTGGCCAGAGATACCAGTGGCTATAACCGTGTTTTTAATAGATACATCAAACTGACTTGATTAATCCATACATCAGTTTCCATTTTTTCGCAAAGGTTACTTATTTTAATTGGAATAAAGAAGTTGTCATTTTTATTTTAAAGCGCAAAATGAGGAATCTTTGGAAGGTGTTATTATAGCCGTTACTTGTGTCAGCTTTATAGCCCTGGGATTTATAATTTTCTTCATTTACAAGAAAAGAAAAAGTTTCAAAGACATTATCATCACCAAGTCGACAGTTGCTAAGAGTAACAGTTATAAATCCAATGTGGGTGGTGAGTATTGGAAAGTCTTCTATGTTGTCTTTATATTGCTGAATGTCACACATAAAAGAGTCGTGAATTATAAAAAAGACCTAAACAATGCTTTTAATGATGTCTTGACGAGAATTGAAACATAATATAGAAATCTTGATATACCTAGACAGCAACCCATTCCCAATGTTTCTTTAGGCAGTATACACTGTAAAACTAAGTTGTAAGTTTATTATTAATCAAAATACATCCACTCAAATATATACAGCATCACGATTTGCCCATTCCTGACAATAAATTAACTATTCACGTAATTAGACTGGTGTCGTATACAGGGCAGAGTGTGTTAATTTTCTAAATCATCTGATACCTCTTTCACATATCTTACTATTTATATTGATTGATTGTGGAAGCCCCGAGAAATTCACAAATGAATCGGAATAGCGCTGATATTCTTGTATGCATGTGCTGTCTTTTGGAGATAAGTTTACCAAAATTAGGCTTATGAATTATAAATGTTAAATTAAGTTATTGTATTCTACCTGTAGCAGGTAAATCTGATTACTCGAATCAACTGATGGTGATAAGTGATGAGTGGGAACTAGATCCTAAACAGCTCAAATTCTGTGCACCAGTTGGTCAAGGTGCCTTTGGTAAAGTCGTCACTGGTTATTTCAATGATATGAAAGTTGCTATCAAGCTCATTAAAGGTAAGCCATATTAATTGTTACCTTTCAGTCACATTAAAATTTCAGTTTTGATTTTTTTTGTTCAAACCATGCTAGATCGGGAATGACAATCGAATTTAGCGGAAAGAATGTAACATATAATTTTAATAGTAAGTGCAGGAGAACCGCACTACGCGAAAAACAAAACAGATAAGACAAACCTTGGGACAAAACAAGCTACACAAACATTGCAAAAAATAAACAGCAAATATCAAATGAAGAGAATGCAGCCGTAAGCGTCTAGGCCTGTACTAATACTCAAAATGAAAAAAAGAAAAAGAAAGACGTAATGCCACTGGTTTTGACGGTGGTAGTCTTCTGAAAGGCGATAGTCTGCCAGTTGACGTCACGAGTAATGTAATTGAGTTACTAATTCATTAGTTAAAATACATAAGTGTTCGTGGGTACGAATACGACTCCAGGTCTCGTGGTGTATCCAATTCCTTTCACGTATCAATCTCATCAAACGTATCGAAGAATTTGGTAAATTTAGCATATTTCACTCTTGGTGTTCGGCTGTACAGTGCAGTATATCTCCTTACTTTGTAAATTTCGTTTGAAAATATTTCCGGTTTCATATATTACCCATTTCATCAAAATAATTAAGTGGTGTAAAGTAGACATTAATTTGGCCAGCCAGTTTTTAAAAGAATATTTTGCGTACACAAAAGTTCTTGATAAAAGATTTACCTCGATGAAGCAGTCGTTTTAGAAAAAGAAATTACGATCAGAATAATGATTGGTCTAGGGCGTGCGCTTTAGATCATAGGGTTCATCATTGGGTCAAGTGGCGTGGTTTTGATGCCACGCGTGTACGTGACAAGGAGTATGGTCGCTTCCTTAACCTCGTGGGTTTAGTCCTTCGGACTTCTGTCACTGCTACAAGACCCCTACTCACAAGAGAACTATAGGAATAAAATTGCACCGTGTGTTATTACCGAATGACCTAGTTTGTGTTGAGTTGACTTTAAACACCATTTCTGTCGCAATGGAAAATCGCATTATCCCTGTAACGACTGGCTATTTTCAAGGAATTTTTAAAATTGACATTCACTCATTCTAATAGCATTTGTTTGCTTTCAAAATAGTCTATTTATAGTCGACATTGCTTAGAAAAGCCTTCATTAATGTGATTTCATGGATTAAACTAAAACAAGCAGACAATAAGACAACAAACACAAAAGAATTACTTATTATATAAATGTCTTAAGAATATAAATATAGAGTTAAACATATATTTTTAACTCGTGTCTACGGCATGATAGAATATGAGATCTTTGTTAAAAAGATTATTTAAATCTCGCCTCGGGTATACGAAACTTTTAATCATTAGTTTAATGTCATTAAAAATGCAAATTAATTTAGATTCGTTCTCTGTCTTTGAAACTCAGTTGCCAGATAAATTAGTCTTTCAGTAACCTCTTATATTTTTATACGCCTACATTGAAATGTGGTCGTATATTGTCAGATTGTCCGTCCGACATCATGTCTTGAAATTCGGGCACAGTGTTTACATTCATCAGATGAAGAAGTCTATTGATTTTCAAAGATTTCCGATAACTAGTTTCAAAGGTGTGATCGCTCAAGGTATTATCCGATTAACTTGAAATTCATACAGTGTTTATGTTCATAAGAGGAAGATTCTCAACGATTTCTGAAACGGCAGTCTAGGTTATTCCACTTTAAATTATCATCCGATTGTCTTATGTCTTTTAAATGCTCATCGTGCTTTCAAAAGAATAAAAATTCAACATTATATTTGGTGGTGTTCCGAATGGATTTCATGATTGAAGATATGGAACACGTATTATGCTCATAGTGAAATATATATGAAATATAAATCGCGATAGTGGTTAAGATTAGTACAAAACATTCGGAACACTGCAGGTATATATTTGATGGATTGCACCTGGAATAATGAAGCACACTGTATATAAACTGATTCTTTGGGTGAAACATACAATAGTAGGGTTGAACTAACGTGTTATACAGAGAGTAACATATAGATATCATCTCACTTACCTGGATATAGACATCATGTGTCGACCACATTTCTTACCTGTATTATCTACCTAAATATATAGCACGACATATTCTTTCTACACCTATATGCAATTATTATTAGTTTATCCCATGTAAGTATAAAACATACGGACAACTACTCTTTCTAGATCAAACGATACTTTATATTTTGTTTAGTTTTGCTTACATATACAATTTCAAGGATATTTTGGACCAGGGACTACTCATCGTGTTCTTAGGGGCTACGCGCTTCGAAAAAAAGGCTAGGCTCCACCAAATTAAGTACGATCGACAATTGCGCATCAATTCCAAAATGGTTGCGATGACGGGATACTCGGTTCCTGGTCATAGTAAGCTCCTACTTGTTTTCTTAAATGTTTTTTAAAAGATTAGAGCAGTAGTGACAACCTGTTTTTAAATCTCTCCCCGTCTTCATTAGAACCCTAAACCCCATTTCATTTCAGGTCATTACCCCATTATTATGAACGACTGTGTTCCTTTATTGCAAGATCGAATTTATCTTAATTTAATCATCCATTAAATATTCCATCAAAGAGTATATCACAGTGTATATTTTTTTTTAAATTGACAGATAAAACGAAACTGTTAATCTAGATTACTTGTCTGTCAACCAGGCAACCTCGAAAAGGAACAGTGATTAATATGGCGAACTGATCAAACGTAAACACATGCGACATGTAGCGGACTTACGGATTTCTAAAAAAAATTATCTTTTACATGTATCATGTCACTTAATTGTTTATTTTGTGATGTCTGTCACTTCGGTGAAAACAAGAGTATTTTATAATTATCGAGTCTTATATATTGTAGTCTTGCCAAAACGAGTTTACCAGTCATACCAACAAAATAAACTCAAGGTGTCTTCCTCTGTTCATATTAATAACTATCTCTGTAATTATTTGTACGGTACAAACTATTTCTTTGTGAAATTGTACATATGTTAGAAATAATCGCCACATGCCATACACAATACATACCGGGATATTAATTTGATATATTCGCCACGTGCTGGGTGCCACACGCATCTTTCACCAATAAGCACAACAGGCGTGAAGTATACATGTATAGTATGTATCTATATCATTTCCATATTATGTACTTTATGAAAGCAAAGTCTGACAACAATGTACACACATTACCCTGTTTGAATCGTGCCCTTATGGGACTTCCATACATGTTTCACAAAATGTCAAGGTGGCGTGGTTTTGGGTTCATTTCATTAGTAGATATGCTTCAGTCCACGAAAAACATATATTTAGACTAAGACCACTATTGTGTAAAACTAACATTTGTTTTAATTCTTAAATTTTAAAGATACAACATTCTTAGACAGGCTTATTATTACAAATACAGAAAGAAAAACGTAAGATATATAAAACGTTTCCTAAAAAAAAAGAATATCCCGCTCTGTGTACCTAGGAAGGGGGGTGGGACAGAGTGGTTTTATGCGGGCGCTGTATAAATCATAAGCCCAATTAGTACGTAACCAGGCGTACATACCTAAACTCGCTGATCTTCTGCGGGGCTAAGATTTCGCCGCACTTCTTTAAACACCCTTCAGGCAAATTATTTATTTAAATATAATATACTATATGAAGGTTCCGAAAAAACATTGTTTATGTCCCAAGAACCATAATCCCCATTCCCCTTTCGCACCCCCTTTGGGCATAAGGAGATTAATGGAAAAGTAGTAGAGAAATTGTTCCAATCATTGAAGATTCTGAGAACAGAAAACCGGGAAACAAAGACTTGTTATACGAGTTGGACCTATCCTTGAACGGTATAACAATAAGATGTAGATTCTAATCGACTCAGTATAGTCTGTAAGTTACATTGGAAAGTGGAAAGCGAGAAGCGATTCTTTCAGTTAATGCGTCGAACCATTATAAGAATGCCTAGTGGTTGGTATTTCACCATTTTTATCAGATGCACTTTTCTTTGTAGACTAGATAGTAAATATAAGAATATAAATAGGTCGCTTGTTTTATAAACTTTATTGATGTGATAGACAAGGCGTGGTCGCGTAATATGTCTGGACTCTTGTCCTTAATGTGGTTATTAAAGTTAATCTGGATTGGTTAATTAAATAGGTTTACAGTGTCATCGCGATAATAGTTTTAGAAGTATGGGTACATATATTTAAGGGCATTAGTTCGTCCATATTTGCTATCACGGATAAACATAATTTCATTGTATATTAATGATTGATTGCTTGTGATAAATATAAAAGACAATGCGGAGACAATAACATAAATCTACATAAAACAAACCTAAACAAAACATAAAACAAACCTAAACGAAACTGAAAATATTTGAGTTGAATGAAATCTCAAATGAAATGAAATAGGGTTAATGTCCTAATGTCCTACTGTTCTGCTACCACTGGGCTAATAAAGACAGGCCAAATAAATAGAATATTATTAACAAGTGACTCAAAGTCAGAATTCAAAAAGCATGGTTAATGGGCCAGACACACATGTCCATGCTGAAGGTGGATTCCATTTTCTTAACACCCATATCTTGTTTTACTACATAATAGTGAAGTATATTATTTATAAACCATATATTTCTACTCTATAATAATCTATTTTCAGAGGGCGCCCCATTGTCTTATAAAGAAGATTTAGTCGCCGAAATCAACTTAATGAAGAAAATTGGTCCGCATCCAAATATCGTGTCCATGATAGGGGCGTGTACTTTATTAGAACCTGTAGCTTTAGTGATGGAATTCTTACCTCGTGGTAATCTACAAACGTTTTTAAAGTAAGTGAATATATGGTATATTACCTGTTTTATCTGGGATATTCAGCATGTCTACATCAAACATCAACATTACCTACATGATAGTATGTCTACGTAATAAAACATCATGGTATGTGCTTAAATATAACGGGAGGTTTAACAATACAAAATACGTATTATCGCATACACAGTTGGCGATTATAAATTGGCATAAAGAAGAAATATAAGAAGCAACAGTGTTGAATCATTAATATAGAGAAAACATATTTACAATGCATTGAATCGGGTGAAAAATAGTTTTAGAGTCATTGCTTCTTGAACGTCAAACTGCGTTTAATGGCGATTTTTAATAGGGGCGGTTTTAACAAACTAACCAATACTATGTCGTAGTATACCATTAAATAACGATGACACGAAACTTAAAATCAGAGAAAAGGGTAAATAAAGATATTGGCCATTTCTGATGCCAATGTTCTACTGTCGAAAGTATTCTGAAATTTGGAACTTTGTCTCCCCCAGTGATCATGTTTACTTTCAGTAGAAGATCCGGATAGGAAAGTACCAAAGTTAAATGTTTGTAGATGGGCAGGATTTATATTTCATACTATTTTATACTTTATTCGTTTCGTTTTTATCTACAGGGATATAACGTGGGGCGTTACATACTGTCTTATGTTAAATACATTATTTTCTTAACTAATATTTCTTCATGCAAAGTTATGCCCTGTTGGTTGGACAAAATCCAGCTCATGTAATCTGTATATATAAATACACTACTACTATCTATTTCATGAATATTAGGATCGTTGGCTTTGCTAGTTATTAAAGCGTTGGCTCACTAATCTGGAGGTCCTGGGGTCGGTCACACTGTTAATAGAGAACGTTCCGATGAATTTCTAGTGTGGTTTCCCCATTATCAGTGGTGAAAGAAGGAGGTCTGGCAAAGATAGTATCTAGCTGTTCGGATGGAACGAAAACCCGACCTCCTGTGTACACATTGGCGTGCACGTAATGGAACCCTTGACAGTTGGAATTCGATATAACAGTAAGCGTACACCGCTGCCCGACCAAAATGTCCTTTGTAGTATACTTTATGGCCCAAGCCGTCTTCATTAGCTCAGTCGGTGCAGAAAAATAAGACGTTAAACGTTAAAACCCGTCTCATTTCATTACAAAACCGATTAAGATATTGTGAAGCTCATCTGTTTTATATGTTTGCAAACTATGCACTTAAATGCTCCTTTCTTTTGAAAACACTACGTGGTTGTTGTGTATTTTATTTCAAGGAGGTTTTGCGTATTTATTGACAATATATTTTACACATGAAGTTACGATATTTGTTTCAAAATTAACAGTTGACTTTTCGTCTAGTTTTGCTACTTTGTAAGTATCAAGGGGGTTGTCTGTTCATGTGTGTTTTTTTTGTTGAAGTTAACTTTGATGTACGATTACCTTACCCCTGTAGAATCTATTACATGATATGTAAATCTCGTTTAAACCAACTCACTGCTGAAATTATAGACGGAGTTAAATTCACCATGTAAAATTTCAAACCAAACAACTGTTCCATTTAAATAAGAGATTGCACCGTTACAACCCTAAGCATAGAGCTGTCATTCTTTGTGTAGTACATGTATACGAGGCATATGATATGCTAAGGCATAAATTTGTAGAAAAAATTGCGCAAGCTACAATTTTTTTATTTTTTTTTGCAATTGGCATAGTATAGTAGTCTTTTTGCGCCCCGAAGAACCATTTGCCCATGGAGAATCAGTTTGGAGGTATACACCCTAACTGCGTTATGCCGAACTTTTGAGTCCGCGTATTTGCACTCTTCGTCAGCACTACATAATTTTTTGGCATAGAAAATGATCCAAATTTGGGCAGCAAATTGAATTGCACCATGCTTGTTTGTACCCTGGATGGCCCCATGTTGGTGGGGAAGGGGTCTTGCCGTGCTCTGAACTGGATTTTAACGCAATCAATCACGTGTCGGAACATATCATTTGGACCCTTTTATTTATTTCGCAATTTGACTTGAGCTACGTCTTGTTCGCATGATTCATATTTTGAATAAAATTCGTATTAAATTATGCATATAATACCTGAATTGCTTAATCAGACCTCTAGTCAAAATAAAAGTGTTCGAAAAACAGGGTTTCATATGACGAAATAGTTAATCTGATTCAAGGTTTAGTTTTATATTTGATTTATTGTCTACCAGAAACAAAATTCTAATTGAACTTGATTAGAATATCTCCATCCCGTACTTGAGGGTAACCGCATCTAGAGTTGCGTTTTTAAAATTTGTTTTAATGCTTTTGGTTGCACCAGATGATATTATCTCCTTTTAATGGCCTTCTTGTAAGATTTTATGATTTTATAATCTTTCAGAAAATGTCGAATGGAAGGAGATTTCAGAAAGGGAACGGATGGACAAAGTGAAATTATTTATTCTTTAGTTCAAGACACGGGAGGTATAGACAATGGGGTCATCATACCGGCTGATATGTTGAGCTTCGCTCGTCAGGTCGCCATGGCAATGGTAAGCTTATTCTATTTTTTTTAACTCAAACTTCAAACCCTTAATTTAAAACTAATTTCAAGATCCGTTCATTACATTTCAAGTTCTTACATCTGTAGCGAGAATATTATGATTTTTAAGTATTATCTATTTTCAAACTTTTATAACTGAATTTGTGGTTAAAGGAGCTAAGCCCCTAACTCAGTATTATTCATATTCTTTGACGTGGATGTCGATTATTAACAAATTTTCGATAGAATTGAACCATATTTTAAAGAGATTAAAACTCACCTCAAATTTCGATCGGACATTTTAAATGTTGAGTAAATTCAAGCGTGGATTAAGCAGTTAAATATTAGATGCCAGTGACGATTAGTAGCTTTAATTTGTAGAGTAACACACTTTATTCGACAAACTTCAATTGGCTAATTATGAGATTTGATAAGAGAAAAAGTGGTAATAATTTCTCAACTACATCCGAACACACTCAATACACTGTATATTTACCACACAAAATACTGGTTTCACTTGTATACCCAACAGCAAACTTCTCTTCAATTTACAGTCAAGTACAAAAAGAAACAATGCTATTATTCTCGTGTGCCTTAAGGAAGGTATAATCGAAAGTAGTAAATTGAAGCTAAGTAGGGACCTACACACTGTTTTTTTTGTAATCATAAAAGGTAATGACATATTTCCAATCGCGTAGTGTGATTTATCGGTTAAATCCCTGTAACAAACCATGTTATACATTTTCTTTTGAATAAGTATTAATACCTAGGTCTTTATGGTCGTCAAAAATATTAGAAAACTACATTATTGTGACACGTAAGTGTAGTAAAAAGCTTTATTTTGTACCAAAAAAACTAGTTTAAAAATAAAATATAAGTTTGTAGATTTATATTCAAAATCGCTGCATTATGTCTGTATTTAATTAGTTCATTTAATTTATGCATCTACTCTTGAATGATAGAGTTAATTGAGGGATTTTGAATCTTTTGCAAACTGCAATATTATGAATGTTGAATCTACATTATTTACAAAATATGACGAATTGATCATTTCCCAACATTCTATTTCTTCTACAGACGGTATGAACAAGACAGCGCCATCTATAAGTATTTTGTAATTTTTTCCATTTGGCCTCTTTTTAATTCGACTCTTTTGGTTATGTTTTTTTTAGTTAAATAATCAATTTGAGTAAAGTTTTTAGCGTACATCAAGGCGCGAAAAATTATATATTATAATAAATCAAATGAAAATGACGTTCAGCGGCTTTAAGTATGAACAGGTAATAAAAACCTATTAAAAAACACATAAGGAATTTCCCTCTCTTTATTCTGTTGGAACTCTGACATACTCCTTTTACTAGAAGCACAACGATTTGGTCTTGTTTCTCTTTGAGTCTTAGGCTATTTACACACCTATTTTTAAATTATGCGAGCCTGGAATTTTCCACGCTAAAAACAATGTGTAATTCTACTCGTCCATGGCACAAAGACAAAATAAATAGATTCGACAGAAATAGTTGTCCGTGTACTACCGTTGTAATGTTACGTTCTGATATATTCTTTGATTGAAGTGGTCGTATTTATAATAAATACGGACATACTTTGGCCGATGGGTTGCTTACGTGTCCGACAAAAATGGACCTTGAGTGGGTGGTAGGTAGATAGATAAACCTTCTTTGAATAAGACCTGAAAGATGCAATATGTTAGAGCTAAATCTACAGGTCTTTGTTTTGGCTTCAGATTTTATATAAACTAATATTTAGATATTTATTCAACCGACAAGCCTATAATCAACTCTCTAGACAATCATATGGTCGAGATTTAAATGGATTAGAACAACTTAACGATAAAATGGATAATCAAGACTGTCTCGATTGTCAAGTATCGTCGCTACGATAATGAACAACGCTACATCTTATCAAACATTCAAACAATCATAACCTCGCTCAGAATACAGTACAGTAGATTGAATGAAGTTTTCAATATATTCATTTTTCATGATATATTTTTGAACTATTATAGCAAGACCGACCAGCTCTTTATCTAAATCTTACATAATTTGCGTGAGTCTTCGGAACAAGATAAATGTTTACTTGCCTAACATAAATCTATGGTGATTGCAAGTTGAGGGTTGAGATAGTATATGTTTTGATACACAAACTGACAGTAAAGATTAATAGAATAATGATTGATAAAAGGTTTGAGAAATCAATATAAATAAACATTAAAGTTGACAAGTTTTGACATATTGTTCCAATCAATAATTCTTCAAATTATCGCTTTGTTATGTCAAATGATTTACATCATGGTCTTCAACAATGAAACTATCAGACTGTTGAGGACATTTCGCCCCAATTCTATAGTTTCAATTTATGCTATGAGCTGTATGAATAGAAACCATTTTAAGATAGCTTACAATTATATATATTTAGATATCAAAATATGCTGAAGGTATATTCTCAGTTCTGACTTGATAAGAGACGATCTCGTATATTTATTGAACAATGAAACTATCAGTGGTAAAAGGACATTTTATCCCGATTCTTTAGTTTAAAAACCATTTCAGACCGCTTATATTATTTAGGTATCAAATATGACGATACTTTCTCCGTTCTTATATACTTGATTAGGAACGATCTCGTCCATGTTATGGTGAAGTGAAGCACGTGTATGGCCGACATTAAGCTATACAACATATACATCTATAATAGTTTACACAGGAATGTACTTGCTTACATGAAACAAAACATCTAGCCAAACATAAGTATATAAATAACACAACAATATAGAAAACACCTCGAGATATATTTAACAACATGTTAATAATGAATGATATATTGTTACTTATTTCTCAAGACAATCCTAAATGAACCCCTTTCCGACATAACCATAGTCTGAATTTAAAGTGGCAATTTAAAGATCGTCGTATGTAATTCAATTAATATGTTGTGAACGTTTTGAAAATAGTATCTGTAAATGCTAAAGTTCAAGGCAAAATATTATTCACTCAAAGATGAAATGAAATGAAATGGGGTTTAACGTCCTACTGTTTTGCTCCTAAACTGGGCTAATGAAAACGGGCATACGCCATACAGTGTGCTATGAGGGAAATTTTTCCCGGGCAGCGGCGCTACGGCCTACTCTTATATCGAATTCCAACTGCCAAGTGATCTTTTACGTGCATGCCAATTTATACACGGGACCTCGGTTTTTCGTCCCATCCGAACGACTAGACAGCTGTCCTTGTCAGGCCCTCCGTCCTGCATCACTGACAAGGGGAAACCACGCCGGAATATCTGAATGACTTTTCTCGGCCAATGCAGGGATCGAACACCCGACCGCCAGGCTAACGAGCCAGCGTCTTACCCACTTAACTCCAATATAATATACGCAATTTTTAAAAAAAATATATAGTACTCGAAATAACATTTGACTCACTAACTATCAAAGATCCAACCGATAACCTACTTAGAATACGCCGCGATATTCTTTATGAGCGTTAGCAAAAATACTAAATATACTTAAAGGAGTGGTAAAATGATGGTTCGTGGAATCCGTCTTAAATTTTGCGTACAAAATAATTTTAACACCCCGTTAAATCCAAAATTTATTATTTTACTAACCGGCATAAAATCAAATATATATTTGTGATCTTCACGTGAAAACTGAACGCTTGTTTTTCGCAGAAACAGCACGGCACATTTTTAGATAGTGGCACAGGACAAGGATAAAGGTTTGAGCGTGTCCGCACAGATATACTTTTCTTATTCATTAAAACTAAACCTGGTGAGTCCCCTTTAATAGAAATGTTATTTTGTCAAGTTTGCAGTGTATTACTATGTACACTTTATGTCCGAATTTTACGAGAAGTCGGAAAGTACCGCAGTCTTTTGTACGAGCTATGTGTACTTGGTATAAACTGTGTTAAAGATATTTTGGAACATCAGTTCCCTAGTTAATATAAATTATTTCAATGGCATTTAGTAATTGAACTGGAATACAAAGGTCACAATTTTATGGAATACATTAATTATTACTGCTTATTAATGAGCGACGTTTCGACTACACTTGCACTAGACAAGCCAAGACGAAACGTGGCTCATTAATAATAGAAGCAGTGATTGTATTCCATAAAATTGTGACCTGTGTCATCCTGGTGAATATAAGGAATAACAAGAGAAACACTTAACAATTCTTAAGCCGATATACTCACCGGCAGGTTTTTAAATACTGCCAGGTAGAAATAAGCATGTTACTTTAAACATACATCATCAATCAACTCTACCTTCTCATAACACAATACTAATGATCAACAATTTGTTTTATGTACTATAATTAGCAGATTAGGAAAGGTTCACTCGTTTTTTTCCGAGGTCGGTTATAAACTGTGTTGTTTTGTTTGTCTTCTATTAGTCTGACTTTGGATCAGACAGCTACCGTGCTATGTTTTTTCCTGTTATTCCATAAGTTGTTCGTCTGAAAAGTAAATTTGTTGACGTAACGTTTTTCCAATTGTCTATATTTCATTTTCAATTTAATAAATAATTCAACCGAAAATTATGATGGTAATTTCTTTAATGGGATTTTAAACTAAGCAATAAGGCCCTAACTGTCTTCAATAGCGACAAGATAAGACGACCTAAAGATATAGTTCCATAAATAAATGTACCCAAAGAAAGACTCCTAAAAAAAAAAACCTGTATACACCCTAGTGGCTAGATTTTAAAGTAGCATTACTTTAGATGTTACAAATGGTTTCTTACCAGGGTGCCTACTTAACGCAACCTATTCACAGCGTGTTCGACTAAACCAACAGAATGGTTTTTCAAAATATGTATCTTTTGGCTAAAATACGAGCATAATAGTGTACCTTTAAGGTTGTTTGCTTGTTGGTTTTATGCTATTGACGTCATAGATGTTTCAGGCGGCTATGCAAATCCTGGCAAATAATGGCAGATGAGTCAGACAATGTTGTTGAGAATAGCTGAAGAAATTCTCGTGTGGGTCGTCAGATACATCCTGACAAGCTATTTACGAGATGTGCATGCTTAAATATAGTCGCCGAATTCCTCGACTTGTAAAACCTAAAGCCCTCACTAGTTGAACTGTGATGGGAGGTCTTTATATAAAGAACATAGGTTTTTTTTACCCAAATTTCTTGACATGGCAGATTTCTACAACAGAAGTTGTACATAAGACATAATTAGCAGTTGACATGGTTAAATTATGTTTCAATCTAGTTGTTTCTAAGCCAGAATCAATCTTTGCCTACAACTATTTTGTTTCTGTTTATTTTTTTCTATCTCGCTTAAAGAGCAGTGTCTTTAAAATTAATTTATTTTACTAGAGGATAAATACACCTGAAAGTTCAGGTATCCCAAGTTCACTTCATTTATTTTGATGGTTACAGTAGTACTGTCATAAACTATCTCTATTCCGTCTATATTCGTTTAATGCCATGAATTGCACTGACCAATCCAATTGCAATTACTATTATTGCAAGAATTACGTAAGTCAAGAGAAAGTCTTCGACCCGACAAGGATATGGTTGCATACGTTCTAATAGAACACATTTCGGACCGAAACATTCTGTGATCAGGTCTGATAAATATACAATGCAGACGTTGGTTACCGATGAGGATGCTTAAATACTTATCTTATCATATATTCTTTTCTTTAAATAACAGATTACACTTTGTAATTCTTTTGTTTCTTGATATAAAAATAACTATAGTTAATGTCTATTTTATTTCTTTTTCAGGAATATTTGGCAGAAAAGAAATATGTTCACCGTGATTTGGCAGCAAGAAATGTACTATTAGATCATAACAAAGTGGTAAAAGTCTGTGATTTTGGACTGTCGAGGGATATATACAATGATAATGAATACAAGAAGTTGACTAATGGAAAATTGCCTTTGAAATGGATGGCTATTGAGTCGTTACGTGATCGAATTTTCACCACTTCTACAGACGTGTGGTCATTTGGTATACTACTGTGGGAGATAGTTACTATGGGTAAGTTTATTCGTTCCAAAAAACAAAAGGAATTGGGATAATTCAAAAATAATGTTCACATCATTGTCTGGAAATTGTTTTGAGCAACAGAAATCGATTCATAAATAGGTTGTAGCAAATCCGTCTGTTGATCAGCAATAGTTACTCAGTTGTATATAGAAATAAGAATGGTACGCAGATAGAATGGATATTTCATTTGTTTGGTTGTTAGGTACGAAATGGCATCTTAGGTCGTACTACTCCTCTTTTTTGAATGCTCCGCCAGTCAAATGGAATCGACTGTTCTCTAGATAACACAGTTGCATTGAACCTTGCATTCTTTTAGAACTATTTGTTTTCTTTCTTCTGGCATATTACATGACACATTTTCTGCCATTAGTTAATCAAGTCTTTATTTCCATTTCAGGTGCTTCTCCATATCCAAATATTGCTCTAGCCGATTTATATTATATATTATCTAATGGTTATAGAATGGAAAAACCTAGTAATTGCTCAGACGAACTGTAAGTTTAAGAAATTGCTATATAGTCATTTATTTTGTATTTAGCTAAAGAATGATTAAAATTATTAGTATACCAAGCACTGTTCACCAAATTAAGAATTCTTACCGTCATATTTATATTTTTAAGCCTGTACTTTAGATCATACAGTCTGTAATAGTGTCAGGTGTCGACGTATCGATTGTACAAGATAATGGTGTCCCTGCCTAACCTCGTGGGATTTCTCCTGGTTTTCTTCAACCGTAAAAAAGGATATATACCACGTTTGTCCCAAATTGGTATCGTTTCTGTTGAGGGGACGTTAAACCCCAGTTCATTCTGTTCTATGTCCGTTAATAAGGGAAAAAAATTACTGGGAACTTGACACATAATTTTGATGGTCGGCTACAAAGCTCTGTTCAAAACAAGGCCTACCCAATTTGGCGTACACAAGTAACGGCTCCGTTGCTAATACTTGGGATATTTTATTGTAGACCTAATTGTTAGGGTATTTTAGAAATAGACAGATTTTAATTCGTGCCTATTTTCTTATGATTTCAGCTATAGAATAATGCGACAGTGTTGGGAAGATCATCCAAGCGATCGTCCAACATTCCTAACTCTAAGATTGATGCTGGAAGAATTACTGGAACAAGACTGCGATTATCTTCTCTTGGATAATATCGACGTTCCCTTAAATTTGTCTGAAAACAGCAGTAACCCTATAGACATTTCACATCCCGGCGGAGGGGCGACCGCTGCCCGACCCCCAGTGTCGACACCACCACGCCCTGCTTACACAGTGCGGAGGGACAAAAATCTGAAAGTGAACGTCTGTGTCCACGATCAATCAACGGAGAGACTGATATACCGACCATCTGAGTCCGATTCAACGTCCAGTCCATGATGACGGATTCCTCACCCTCCTTGTTTGTTAATCTATTATCTTTGTTGTGTATATAATTGTTACACTGTGATTTGAAATATTCACTGGACTGGACTCGGGACTTGTTATAGCTATGTGTTTTATCTGGAACTGAAGTCGTCAGGGTTGTGTTTTAATGAACCTGTGCCATCCCTCCACAGATATTTTATCATTATAACTATTATTATTATTGTGTTAGCCGAGGTGTTAAATATTGTGTTCAGTATTATAACGTGGTGTTTTTCTAAAAAAAAAAGTGAAAAATTCTGCTTATACTTTTTACGTATTCTCGAAGTGCAAAAATGACCTCTGGAAAAGGAAAACGTGTGTGCCTATTATGTCTTATATATGTGATCAAGTAACCAAGACAAGGACAGTATATAAGTTGAGCAGAAATGACTGACTCCCAAATAACTTTACTGGAAGTAGCAACTTAATGAGATAAATTAATTCGTGTGGTAAAATCGTGTATACCTATAAATAGTTTTATATCTAGATTCCTTCCTTTTATGTAAGTTTAGCCAAAAAAAGAAAGACCGAAGACTATATTTTCTTATACTGCAATATCAAAACGAATCTATCAAGTATATCCATAATATACTCAGCATCATATTTTTATCCGATGGACAATGGTTTATAGATCGACATAAAGTATTTGATAGATTATTGAGTTTGCCAATATTTCAAGTTGCTACAAACAATTTCAGACTGATCTACACTTAACATAGATCTGATATAAAGATTTATAAAGGCTTATGGAGAATGGAATTGACGTTTGTTCCCTTAACTATAGTGCTTGTGTATATAAAACGTTTCTTTTTTTAATTTATATTTTAATTTATTGAAGTAAATGTGTGTATTATAATTCTTGTTAGATTTTTAATGCTTTGTTCAATTTTATGAGAAATAAAACAAAAATGTTAAATTGTGTTTAAAGCCTTCGCAGTTTAGCTGATGTTTCTGCCACATTTGTAATCCACCGAACGTACTTCATCTGTAGTGCTGTCCAAACCCTTTTGTTGGACCTTATTGGATGAATGTGAAGCAGTCAGATTTGTTGTGGCGAAAAATAAGCTAACGGCGAATCCTTTCAGCTTGAGCTCTATTCGATGTCTCTTGCTCATTATCTTGCCTTCTTCAACGAAATGAGTTACACCGGTGGTACTAGTGGTATTAGACATAAAATATATTTTTAATATTGAGTAAAATTGTTATTATTAAAGAGGTTGTAATTAAGATTACGGTTCTTCAACTGCGGTTTATTTTCTTAAATAGTATAAATGTAGATGTCAAATCATATCAGAAATTCCTGGATAATTGAGGTAACCACATTAAATCTTTCTTTATTTATGAATAGGGTTTCTTAACGGAATTGAGTGAGCATAGACTTGATTATCTAAGCAATATTTTAAAACACTAATGACGGAATTTGAGTAAATATAGACCTGATAATCCAAGCAATATTTTACACTAAGTAATTCTGTTGTCGGCATTTTTATAATTGGGTTATATTTTGACAACATAGTTACAGGGTAAATTGTACTTTCAAAGTCGGCAATGCCCCTTTAACTTCTTAAAAAGTTTTATTGAAATATCAACAAGATGATAAGTAATATAATTAATAGCCGGGTTTTGTTTCATAACATATACTATTATATTTTAAAGTATTAGCTCAAATGTATTTAAATTTTAGAATATTAGGCTCAAAGTATTAAAAACGGAATCTCAGTTTCTTTATGGGTATTATACTAGTCTTATATAGAATATTGTTAGTTGGTTGGTTAAAACGGGTATGAAATGTACACAATGATAAAATCAGACTCAGACGGCTCAATTAATAATTTAGACATTACCATTACTTTATAGATAAACACGTAGATAAAATATTTAGAATTGATATTTATAAAAAAAATAAAATATATGTACTTTGGCACCAACAAAACTCTTCTTATATTCAGACTTTAGAATACTTGACATTCAAGATAAATTAATAATTCATACTTGATTCAGCGATATATTATTTATGTTTCTATAAGCTTTGGGAATAATTTCACGGATGTAAAAGTTATTGTGATATCTTAATGAACAAAACTATGTTTATAATTTCGATTAGTTTAGAATATCGAGATCTAGAATGGAATTATTTTCTTATATTCCAATAAATACATTAGTTTTATTAATCATGATTGTCTGAAATATAATATATATTATACTGGAAGCTACATATCTAGCCCACGGAAATCAATTTAATTGTACAATTTAAGAATACATAATATCTAATTTTAAAAATAATTGTATTATTTTACATATTTTATTATTTAACTAACAAGGGTGATGTAATGTAATTTCAAATTTATAATTTTCTTCCTAGATTTTTTTCAAAACGAACATATCAGCTTCAGTACTTTCTATGCAAATTTATAATAAAAAAAACATTAATGTAAGAGAAATTGGAATTACCGTAGCTTCTTAATTTGAAATAAATTTTATGCTATCTTATGTAAATTAGCTAGAATATTAATTAGTAAAGTATTAATTGCTGTAATGTATTTTCCCTTTGATGAAATATTATTAATTTCTTGGTAGATAAAGATAAGAAGAATGTATGTTATTGAAGATAAAAAATAATGTCGGTATAATTATAAAGGTTATGTCGGTATAATATAAATTTAAATGAAGTATATTATACTGGCTGCCTGATCGATTATTGTTTAACGAATAGGGCTGATTATATGATATTATTATTATAGTAAATCTTTAGGGTTCGTTAAATAAAGTAACAATGAAAACCCTTAATTCTCAACTGTGTTGTTTTTCCTTCATACAAACGAGTTTTGTTTTTTTTTGTGGGGGGGGGGGGGGTCTAAGGCGCTGACTCCCTTACCAGGAGATGTGGGGTTCGATGACAGTGTTGGCCGAGAGAGTTCCACGTGATTTTTCAGAGGTGGCTTCACCTTGTCAGTGGTGCAGGCTGGCAAGGACAGTGTCCAGTCGTTTGGATAGGTCCCGTTTAAGGCATTTTTTTAAGGATTTGGTACTATGGGGGTAAGAAGGGGGGGGGGCCTCCCCCGCAAAAATTTTGACCCTCTATATGCCCCCGCACTTCAGGTGGGGGGGTGGGGCAAAATCTTTCAATCAATGCCCCCGTACTTTGGCCTTAAAAAATAGCCCTTGGTTGGAATTCGATATGAGAGTAGACCGTAGATCACTGTGTGACGTTTGTCCGTCTTATTAGCCCAGCCAGTGGAGAACAGGACGTTAAACTCTGTTTCATTTCTTTGTTACTAATTTGACTATAATAAAGCCATTGAAAAGGTTCCATTTGTTTAGCTTTCATTCGGCAATTGTCAACTTATTTTTAAATTGACGTGGTAGGGACACAGTGTTGTCCGGATTGCTACTGCCACATACGTGCACTCCAATTTGAACCCTGGTGGATCTTTTTTTTGTGTGGGGGGGGGGGGGCGGGGGTGCACCTTCAAACAACCAAACGGTAATGTCTGGGTTCGACCCCGGGACAATCTAGTCGCGAGTCCAGTGTCGCTACAACTCGGCCCTATCAAAATTTTTGACTTTTACTGAACATTACGGCGTAGAGATACATCATTTTTTGACAGCAATTCAACGATTGCAAAGTCCTTTATATTGACCCAGTGTTCCTATCAAGGGCAATTGAATAACAATAGTTCATTTTTAATAAAAGAAAAGTTACCTTTAATAAGAAATAAAAAAAGTAGTTCCTTTTCAACTGACCAGGGGGATTGGATGGCTGAATGGTTAGCGTGCGCGCGCTGTATCATAAAGTCTGTCATTGAGTCGACTGGCGTGGTTTCGAATCCCCGGTTGTACGTGACAAGGAATAGGGTCGCCTGTCCAACCTCGTGGGTTTTCTACGGGTCCTCCGGTTTCCTCCCACTGCTAAAGACCCCTACGCACAAGCGAATTATTGAAATAAAATTAAACCATATGTTAGTCCCGAAATGACCTAGAGAGAGAGAGAGAGAGAGAGAGAAATTGGGTTTAACGGACACTCGACACATATGGTTCCATTTTATTTCAGTAATTCGTTTGCGTGTAGGGGTCTTTAGCAGTGGGAGGAAACCGGCTGGCCCCGGAGAAAACCCATGAGGTTGGGCAGGCGACCCTACTCCTTGTCACGTACAACTCGGGAATCGAGACCACGCCAGTTGACTCAATGACAGACCTTATGATACAACGCGCACGCGCTAACCATTCCGCCATAGACCCCCCCCCCCCACCACCTCAAATAGGAGAGTTATGGTGTTCCGAAGTCTCGACCAATCAGATTGGAGTCTCTACTTTACCTAAGCAGAAAATGCTTAGCATCGAACTTTGTTAAGGTATTGATGTACATGTAATATATTGAATCTATACACAAAGTTTCACCACTATCACTCAATTAGAATCAAAATTGTCGAGCTCAAAGTCTCGACCAATCAAATTGCGTATCGCTCTGCATACCCTGGGCCGAAAATACTCATTATCAAACTTAGTCGAGGTATAATTAAAGTGATGGAATTTTACACCAAGTTTCATCGCTCTCACCCAATTAGAACCAAAGTTATCGTGCCCCAAAGCATCAACCAATCAAATTGTTTATCTCTGCTCACCCTAAGCAGAAAATGCTCATCTTGGAACTCCATCAAGGCATTCTCATAATGAATGCCTACACCATGTTTGAACATTCTACCTCAATTAGAAGGAGGGTTATTGTGTTCCAAATTCTCGACCAATCAAATTGCTTATCGCTCTGCTTATTCTGAGCAGAATATGTTCATTATCGAACTAAGTCGAGGTATTGATGAAATGAAACTCTCACTTAATTAGAATTAAAGTTATTTTGACCCTAAGCAGCAACCAATCAAAATGCTTATCTCTGTTTACCCTAAGCTTATAAAGCTCATCTTCGAACTTTATCAAGTAATTCACCATGTTTGAACATTCTAGCGCAATTAGAAGAAAAGTTATTGTGTCCCAAAAAGTGTGACGGACAGAAAGGCAGACAGACAGTCGGACGAACAGACCCATTATAAGAAGTACAATGGACAATCACATCTTCATCTCATACTTCCAGCCATTCTTTTCAATTTTCGACTTGCATAAACCCATCGAGTTAGTTCTAAAACACCACTTGAAGTGTATAAGTCTTTATTAACATAAATTCAGCGAAATTAGTCTTGATTTATTAAAAACAGAAATTCCCTATAAATGGTGCACTGAATAACCCTCTCATAACAATTTTTCAACGTTCGTTATTTGATAACGGGTGCCAACTGATAAAGAGTATGCCTATTGATCACTATTAAAAACAAATCTCTAATTTCTTGATGTAGCTATGTATTTTCTTTTTAAACATTAAATGGATCTTATGAATTTAAAGGGTCTCTTCAACTTGTGCGATGGGTTTTGGGTACATACTTCTTCTTACATCAATGTGCATTCTTGAGTTCGAACAGATAATCACCAGAGTAATTTGATTTCTCGAAATGTGATTTTATGTTTTTACCGGCATCGCTTAGTAAATGGTTAGATCCGTCGCTATTATGGAATGAATTCCCACAACTTATATTAAAATATTTTAAAATATATAACTGGAATGGTTTTCGTTGTCTTTTAATCACTATCTATCAGTAGATTAATATTAAGCTTGATTTAAATGGCTAAACACGACTGTTTATAGTTACGCATATCTTTAAACATTAGATGTGATAGTATAGAATTAACCATGTATGTAGAAACGATTAGTAGTCATAATAATATATCATATTTGAGACATCGCATACCTTTATTTAAAATTTGAGTATTGCTAGGTGTAAATTATATTTTGGTATAAATTACAGAAAAACTATATACATCATATCATTGTACGACATTTAGACAGGTTCCCTAACGTTTCACGCCAATGGTTTCATTTTTCTAATAATTTTTTCTCCTAGCCCGATTGATTTATATTCTCTACCCATGTTACACGTATAATGTAACCGACGATTCTCTTTGTTTTAGTACTTAATTCGATTCACAGAAGGCACGCCTATACATTATTTTGACTGTTTCAGAAATGTCCAAAGTCAAGATCACGACGATCTGTCCAACTGGGTCAATAAATAATAATAATAAAATAATCTTCTTATATAGCGCTGTGACCCCCAGTATGTAATACTGCTCTGTGGAGCTTCACATAATTGTTCATAAGTTGAAAAATTAATATAGGGATACAATTATCACAGAATCCATATAAAAGTCTAAACTGAATCGAAGGATACAAAATATTAAAAACTAATATAGGGATAAAATTATCACAGAATACATATAAACGATATGCAAGTTTGACGAAGTGTGTTTTTGATCTAGATTTAAAAACTGAGATATTAGGGCTTTCCTTTACATCATAAAATCACAAGTCAGTTTGTTCCATTCACAAGGAGGGGCGTACTTAAACGCTCGTTCACCAAAACGAGTTCTGGTCGTGGGGCAGATTAATTTATTTTGAGATGATGATCTGAGCTTTCGGGAAGGGGTGTATGGATGTAAAAGTTCCGTGAGATAGGCTGAATTGTTATTGTTGAGGTTGTTAAAAGTGAACATCGTGAAGGCTATGAGATATTTAAGAGGTAGCCAGAGTAACTCAGATAGGATTGGAGATATATTGTGAGAAACTTTCGCTCGACAGACCAATCTTGCCACTTTGTTCTGCATTTTCTGTTGTTGATTGATATGACAGTCAGGTAAATTGTATAACAATGAATTGCAGTAATCAAGAGTAGATGTTACAAACGCATTTATCAATAATTTGGTATTTGTCTAGACAGTTTCTAATTTTATGCAGATCGAAATTTGCTTTTCTGCACACTTCTGACACATGACGCTTCAAATTTAGATTGCAGTTCAAATTGACGCCAGGATTTCTAACCACATTAATTGTAGCCTGAACTGTAGCACCACCAACTAAAATTTAATTTGTTTCATTTTCGTGATTTCTTTCTGTGAACATGCATTCTGTTTTGTTGGGTGTTATCAGCATACATTTGATGTTGAAGACCATAATTACTAATGATATGTCCAATCGACATTGTATATGGCACAGAAAGTAGAGGGCCTAATACCGATCCTTGTGGAACACCGAACTGAAGTGTTTTGGGTTGGGATTTTGAGCAGTCGATGATGGTTTCTTGAGTTCTCCCTGTTAAACATTTTAGTGCCGCGTCACCATACCTAGTCGAGTGTTAAGACGTTTCAACAGACTGAACTGTTTCATCTATTGTATCGAACGCCGCACTTTGGTCAAAGAACAAGAACTGCGGTTCTACGATTGTCAAGATTGGACAAACCATCATTGTACACTCGTAACAGAGCAGACTCTGTACTATGACATTTGCGATAATCTGACTGGAATTTTGCTGACAGACAATTCACATCAAGATGTTGGGGAAAACGAGTAGCATCAGTTTTTTCAATAATTTTAGATAGGAAGTTTTTTACGAGAGCTGACTTAAGATAATGAAGAATATAATGACGTATTGACGTTATTATCGGCGGAAGTACATCCAAGCACAGCATTATTTTAGCAACAATGTCGGGATGGGATCGAATTACATGTCTTCGGGGGAGAAGACAAGATAAGATGTTTGATCTCAGCTTCGGTTGTTGGCTCGAAGCTGGCGAGACGTTGACCATTAAACTCAACTTCAGACTGTGTCTCCATGATCCTTTGTAAGTTTTTTCCGAATGTGCATTACCTTGTCATAAGAGTAATCCGAAAGTCCTGAGCCAATTCT